GGTACCAAGGTAAGAAGATTCATTTTTAAATTTTATTTATTGAGGAAATTTATGACTAGAAGTTTACTAATTATTTACAATTCGCAGGTTGAATATGTAATCCAAAATCGTATAATAAAAATTTTCACTAGTAATACCACTAGAGGTCAAATTATTTCCGGAAATTTTTTCGAGCTCATGAAAATTTTCTAAAAATATTCATGAGCGAGAAAAAATTCCCTGATATTAATTTGACCTCGCGTGGTATTCGGTAAGAAAATTCCACGCCGAATTATGGTTGAAAATTAAATATTTTTAAAATTTATTTTTCGTTTCTCAACAATGCAAATTATTTTCTCCAAGTCGCCAGTGAAACATAAAAGGTGTTGTCGCCTTGATTGTTGAGTTATCATGGTAACTAAGTGAGACCCTAACCTCGAATATAATTTCAGTTTTGAAGTTGTCAAGCGGCCCGACGTAAAAAAATGTTTCGCTGCAATTATTTAGGCCTTATTTCTACTCATTGTAGTTGCATGGGAATACCATTTGAAAATAGAAAATAGTATATTCTTTAATTTTACGTAAGTTTTGAATAACTACAAGTGGTAGAAAATTGTTTTTCTGCGTTTTTATTAACATGCGTTATGAGCGCTTTAAAATGGTATGAAATTCATAACCAGCGTCAGTAAGCATCAATCGTAGGAGGCTGTGATCATTGTATTTTGACAGTTCAAAACATTCAAAACATAACTCGCGTTTTGTTGCGATAAAGAATATTGCACAGCAAGTAAAACCAACAAAATTACCTATTTGTTTAAAAATGAATCGATTTGAAAATCATACGCTATGCAAAATATGCGTGAAATTGTCTGATGTAATGATCAATCATTGCACCATGACTTACTTACTCGGATTAATAGAGGATTGTGGCTCCAACTTGAAAAACGAAAATTTGTTCCGAATTGTCCACGAATATTTGCACCTAAACTACGCAAAATTCAAAGTGCTGAATGGGAAAAAGGTGAATAAATTAGTGTCTAAATATTATATATATTTTATTAGACATAGACACATAATTCAAAGCATCCAAAGTCCTGCATTTTCGCCATTAAGAAGAAAAGAAGTGGCCGAAGAATATAGGAAACACCTTAGCATTGTAACTAAAATGTATCAAAACTAAACCTATTATGTGAACAAATAAAAACCAGTCTGTCAAAAATGGTGTTATTGTAAACGTCAAAAAATTTCCAGTATAATTCGGTGTTGGGTACCCCACGAGAAAAAAATTTCCACTAAAATACCTCCGTTGCCATGGTGATCTGTCAAAAACACTTATTTTGATTGGTTCAAAATTACAGGTGTGGAATTTTCTACAAAAAACCAGTATTATATCCTACCTTTGTATAAGAACATTATATTATCTATCTTGCTGTACCTTTATGGAAAGCCTGAATTGAGATATACTACAAATTATTATTTGCAATAAATATCAAAAGAAGTATACATTTTTAAATAATATGACATTTAAGAGCCATTCACACATCACAGTTGACATCTTGATACTTGACAGGCACAGCCAAGCATTATTCTGGTTTTTGCCAAATAAAATGGCCGGTTTATTATTCTATGGGGTTGCGACGCGACAGAGAGCCAATAAATTTGATGGTGTTTTTGTGGCTAGGGGCGAAATAGTAGTACGCTTAAGTTAGCACCACCATAAAAAAGTCATTTTTAAGAAATTGCTTATATATTTTTCATAAATTCCCAGACAACATACCAAATCCCAGAGATATTCGCAGAATATCTTTTGTGGATATCCAATATATCCACAGGATATCAGAAATATTCCGTGGATCTAATATGGATATCCAAATGTCCGTCTATATCCAGGATATAGAAGATATCCTAATGGATATCCAGCAAAATATCTAATGGGTATCTTCCAGAAAATACAAGAAATCACAGAGATATCCACAGAATATATTTTGTGGATATTCAATATATCCAATATGGATATCCAACCAAATGTCCGTCTATATCCCAGGACATAGAAGATATTCGGATATTCAGCAAAATATTTTATGGGTATTTTTAGTAGAGGTTTGCAGATTCGCCTCCTTCTCTCTAGTCTTCATATTCCCAAATTTCGTCATTTTGTGAAACAAAGAAATAGTAAAAATGCAATAAGTTACTTTAATTGGTTTTATTATTAATATATAGAAATATCTCTAGTATATATAAGTATATAAAATAAATGAATTTATAATAGTAGAAACAGTAAATATTTAACAAGAACTTTACCTATCTAATAGCAGTCATATAAGTATTTTAATAAACATTTAATGAGAAATTTAAAAAACATTGCAGTCAATCTTCTTAACCTCAAAAAAGCTGTCTGTGTTCGCTATAAGAAGCCGTGTTAAAAAAAAAACATTGTTAAACATAACAAGCATTGAGATTCTTATACCTCCAATTTTATGTAGTAGGCTTGTTCTGGTTTTGTGGTGAAATAAAGATCCTCGGATATCAGGTCCATGCGCAGAATATTAAACTTCTTAAAATCCTCTTATTCTGGGATGCCCAACAAGCATCTGTTCTGTATCGGTACTTATACTTCGTAGAGAGCAAACATAATAATGATATAAAAAATAAATAACAATTCTTAAACAACGTTACATCACGTTGCAAGATTATATCCTATTACGATTAATACGAAATTAAAAAAAAAAGTGTTAGTGTTGCCATCTTGGTGATTTGTTCACCCTTTCTGGCGTTTTTTTGTTGGCTCTTGAGAACTTTTTAGGCTAGATTGCTATAAGTCTCAAACCTGGAGAAGTTTGGGTTGCATAGGAGAATTTGTAAATTTTCAAGAAAATCGGATAGTTGCAGATATTATTTTGTAAGTAGACGATAGTGATAATGATGATGATGGAACAATAGTTGACACTGATTAGTGATAAAAAAATGTACTCTTCCCCTTTTTTATATAATCTATTAATAAAAGAAAAATAAAGAATTGAAAGCATAAATATGACATTTTATTCATTACAATTACTTAAGATTTGTATTTATCGTCTTTTACACGTGTATCTTCTGTGGATATTGAACATTCGGTTCATTACCTTTAAGTTTGGCAACCTGGGACAGCGTCAAATGACGGCTTAATTTTATTTGTGCTTTTTTATACTTTTTCGAGAATAATTTGAACATTGAACTGTTTAATAAGGACATTTAAGATGGTGAGGAAATGTGTAGTGTGTCAAACTATTTATAATAAGAATGTTAAGCGGTAATTTTATAGGTAAGGTTTTGTTAGCATAGACGGAGGCATATATAGGGAATAAGGCTTGATTTATTTAACATTGTAAAGGCATATATAAAATTGTCACTAATAGCAGTCCTGAAAAGAGTTGTCATTCCGTTATGCAAACAACTCTGAGAGTAGGTGTGACGTGCAATCTACAGGGTATGTTTTGCTAAGAACATTATTACCATATATGTATGTCTAAAATAAAGTTGTTTTACTGATTGCAATAAGTTTTTTATTTCATGAAGGTACTCGTGACAATACCGATCTAAAGACTAGAATAAAGATATATAATGCTTGGCATTCTATATTATATACTGTTCACAGTTTAACAGACCTTCATAACCCCCCTTTTTCAATCATCTGATTTTTTTCAGAATCAATAGCTTGATTTTTCTTGAATATTTCAATTTGATATCGTGTTATCCACGGTGTTATCCACGTAGTTGTCAAACTATTATGAGTATGTGTGCGTTATGTTACAAGAATTGTTTATGGTTATAATCAGGGGCTGGTAACTCAAATGGAAAAACATGAGGTTGGTTATTTAGTACCACTCCAATTAACGGGATGGCGCTCGTATCGAAATGTCATGTCAATTGTCAGCTCGTCAAAACTTCAAACTAGGAGAAATTAAAATGGCTATTGGTTATTGTATTTGAAGGTGTATTGAATTTTGATTTATTTTTCAACACCTTCCAATTTTAAGCATGTTTTCAAACGATGGAAAGATGGATTTTAGCAACAAACAATAAAGCACTCCCAGATATTGGTAGTGATGCAATTTATACCACATTAAATATGCAGTCGTCATATTAAGGATATCCAAATAATTTGTAATAAGTGTCTGAAGAAAAATGCACCATCACTGTTTGGTAAGTAATATTTACAAACTCGTTTTTGATTCAGTGTTAATATAATTGGTTTGTTATTTAAATTTCTTTTTGTTTTCAGTTTTTAAATGATAATTGTTGTAAAGAAAATGTTGGCCCTCCAAAATACCCTGTCGATCGATGAAATATTTGAGCCTCAGCTATTAATATCAAAAATTGATACAATGCCATTGACATCAAACAAGAAAACACCCTAAAATCGTCAAGGGTCCAAACGTGTGTAAGTTTAATTTATACTCAAAAGTTAAATTCATTTATCAGGGTGACCACATAATGAATAAAAATTTGATAACTACAAGTGCTGTATAAATGAATCACGAAAACAATTACCGGATGAAGAAATGCTCCTCAACCTAACTAGTCGACTCAATAACCCTATGGCAAATTTTATCCACACTCAAATTTGCCTCGATAGTAAAAAAGGATGATGATTCACTTCAATTTTTTCAAACTTATTTGCCACTCCAAGTCGCAAAACTTTTATAAAGATCTTGAGCACTTATATATACTGATAAGGTAACAGAAAACATTTTTGATAGGTTTGTTTTATAACTATTTAATTATTTAAATGGTGTAAATGCATATTTGTTTCAGTATTTCCATGTTTAAATAGACAAATTATATGATGCGGCGATAATTTACTGTAATAAAAAAAAATAATAAATTGCATTTTATTTCAAGTTTGAAATTAATGCAAAAATATAATGAAGTAAAATCAAATAAAGATATAAATTGGCAAAATATTTGACTGGTTTCAAATAACAAAACAATCAATATGGTTGTTTTATGATTTGAAACTAGTCAAATATTTTTCCAATTTTTTGCTTTATTTGATTTTCTTCATTACATTTTTGCGCTACTACAAAGTTAAATTTCAAAAAGCCCGCTCGCCACGGCCATATTGAATTTTAGTACCACTCCAATTTGATAGATGGCAGCACATCGACTCAGAATTTTACCATTGAGTTTCTCATCTATTCACATTAGTAATCTATGGTTATAATTCGGTATTGACTTAACATAAGGCTCTAAAACGCACAAAGGTCTTTCAAAATTAAATTAAGGAAGTGTTTGCATTCTTAATGCCAGTTATTAACAGTTTAATGTATTTTTCTAATTGCAACTATCAGAGTTGAAGATGATTTCCAGAAAAGTTTGCAAAATAATTTTGAAGTGTGACAGCAATGTAAACGTAAGTAATGAATTAGGCATTCCAAACAAATGAATTACCAGTGGGCAGGTTTGGTATATCTAAGGGTGGCGACATATGGTGTATTCTATCTACTTTACGTAAAATCATGAATAATGGATTACATTTAAATATTTTATGTCAAACACAATAAAAATAATATTTAAAAAACCCACCTATACATTTCTTCATAAATTGGCAGGCTTGGCGAGTACTACTTCGACTAAAAATAGCGTCCAAGTTGCAAGACTATGTCGCTACCCCCTTAAATATACAAGAATTTCCCACTGGCACCTATTGTTTGACAGGTCGTTGGAATGCCTAATTATTCTTAAAACAAATGCTCGCTCCTCAGATAAACAAACTTGCACAAACTATATTCACTTAAATTAGCAGCTGTATCGTTATTTCTAATGTGGCAGCCGATGCGACAGCTCTGTCTGCGTAATATAAACACAATCTGAATGATTGAAATAAACAGGGGCTAATTTTGAATGAATGGATTAGTTTAGCAGTTTTTCGTCGTTATTTCAAATACTAATAAAATTGTTTTTCCACTTAGAGCTGCTATTTTAATCTATAAGAAAATATACAGAACGATTTTTCGAATATATTGAAATGTGTTTCTTTAAATTTATCTTTGATTTAGAAGCCCTACGAAACCCTCCCGAAACACTACGGTTATGTACGAAACCCCTTTCCCCGTCTGGTATATCATGCGGACAGAAGGTGTATTGGTTATACAGTGTGAAGAGCGAGTCTATCATAGATAATATGATGTCTATGTTCTCGACTCAAAGTAATTTGATTTTTTTACATTTTTCTAAACATTGTGGAAAATTTGTAATCATAAAGTCAATTTTTGATAATATTTAAGTTAGTTAAGTTGGGACGTACTCTACGAAGTCTTAGCCTCAACAACCAGAACAAACCTACTGGATCAAAATTAACCGACAGCATTTCCTGAAAAACAAAAAATCGAGACATCTCTAATAGACGGGCATCCACAAACCGGACTGCTCATCGCGTCTAAAATAATGCGGTCTATTGTCCCTAAAAACCGTCACAGCCGGAAACGGGTTCTCCTTCATGTATTTCAACGTCCCCCTTATTTGTTCCACGAAATGCGGCGGTTCCACTTCGGGCGATGTCGATAGGTGATGTAAAATGAATTCGTCGTTTTGCTCCAACCACAGATCCGCGCCTCTTAACGGTTTATAGTTGAACGGACCAATTTTCAACAGCCCCAAATTGTAATCGTACACGTCCAGGATTTCTTGGTTACCTGAACTAGAAAGCTGTCTCGTAGTGCGGAGGTACTCTTCGGGGCCCTTTTCTGGAAACGTGGCCGGGAATATCTCACCTGAACAAAATTAATTATGGATTAAAAAAGGAATCGATCATTATACAGCATAAGAAAGATATCGTACAAAGCAACAATAGACTACATTAGTAAATACGTCATAATCCTCAAAATGCCTCCAAATGTATGCAACCTCACCATTCATGGAGTCTTAAAATGTATTTAACTTTAGACCCTCAAACCAATTGAAACATTTTTTCGCTTAGGGTTGTATAAAAAAAAAGTTTGAGGTTCAATTATGAACTGGATAGATTAGATAGAAATAAAGATAGCATCTACATTTTATTAAATTGTGAACATACACATAATCTATTTAAGGACTCCTATGTACTAGGTCATATTCTAAAAAGATATAGAATGCACTTATATTGGATCATTGTTCTTATTTAATCTTGCGAATTCAAAATAATTGAATTCGAAATATTCATAAAAATTTTTAACATTTATGCACAGAGAACACATAAAAACACGTGTCGAATTCTATAGGATTTCATGTACTATGGTATTGTATTACCCATTGTAGGGGCCTTACATGTTACACTATTGGAGTCTATTAATTAAGATAGTCTTGATATTTGTTTCCGAATTTTCAAATTATTTCAGCCACTTATTTGTCAGAGATACTGACTTTTCGGATTTCGATTTGCGATTTCTCGATAATAAACCCACAATTTTTAAAAAAGTTATTTCATTTAAATAAAAATCCAGTACTTAATTAATAATACCTAATTTTAATTTTTCTCGAACTGTTTTTAAGAAAATTAAACAAAATGACATCACAGCTTCGTAAAATAAAACGAGAAAATCTAAAAAGAAATAATTTCAAAACACTTGCTTATCTACCTTTTTGCCGAATTTTAATTATAGAAGGTGCTATGAATTTTATGTTTCTTTCGAGACATCCAGTATGCTTCTACTCTCTTACAAAATGTTTATAACTGATCTGAAAATATTTAAATATGCAAGCCATTTTAGCTACCTATATTACCTAAATAAGGAACGAAAAAAATTATTTCGAGAATAACCTTCCTTTTCTTTCCGAAACGCATTCAACTACCTGACAAAATTAATCGCCCATCGATCACACAAATCATTTTCTAATGACTTAGTATAAAAGGTATGTGGACGTGAATTTAGTTTTACAAATAGAGCGTACAAATGCAAAGCGAATAACGAATTGTCAATGTTACCACTATTTAATTCCCTGTGTATTTGAAACCCACATTAGTTCGCCTTCTGTTTGCATTTAAAACAATCAGAACTATATTCCGATTACAATGCATGTATTGAATATTGAATGTTGGGAACGATTCGACTTGTTTATTTTTCGACCTATCGACGAGTGCCTGAACTAAAGTGTTGGTAAAACTGAGTTTTAATTTTATTTCTCAATTTTCTTCGTTATTAGAATGATTTGAGAATTGGTTTCAACGTGATTGTATTTGATTATTAATAGAGTATTTGCTTGACTCCTTGAAAAAATAATATTAAATTTTTTTTATAATTGTTTAAACTTTTATTTTTATTATTCACAAAGTTACATTATTTATATTGGCGTCAGCAACTGCTCTGATTAATTTCAAAAATGTCTACCAAATCTAGGCTCTTTATCTTATATTGATTTCTAATTTATTAGGAAATAAAATTAAACCCAATTAAACTCTCGCCTTAATCTAAATAAGTAAAAAATATTGTGATAATTAGTTTGACAGAATTGTCATTTATTTAAAATTTAAAAATATATATATAATAGTAGCCTGGTTACCAAATATAAACTATGATTGGTGTAGGTAAACAAATGGAAAATAATTCCAACTCAAATGTGACCAAGACGTAAAATAAAATAAATAAACGGGAAGCCATGTATCACATAATACGAGCGACCGTTTATCTTCAGAAAACAACTACTTCTTTGGTTAATACCGCAATTATATCCAAAGGAAAGAGAGCAGAGAGAGATTTAATTTCAACATTCTACCTTTGATTTTGCTTACTAAGAAGAACGTCATTTTTGGACCGGTTTCCGTACTTATTAGGACTCTTCAGCAACAAATAGATAGTTTCTCAATTCGTCTCTAATGAAATTAACAAAGCCAACACATTCACTAGTCTACTATAACGCGAATCCCTCTCTATACTTTGTTTACTCCTTGTCCGCGGTATGGAGGCTAGCGCTGGCCATACAGAGACAAACGCACCGCTTCGAGAAGCCTCCGGAGAAATCACTTTGCGTCATAGAAAGGCAGTTTTCGATAGTTCTGGAAAGCCGAGAGAGTTCTGGTACAGAGCTGGCATTATATAAATAGCGCAAGTTCGTCTACGGACAAAAATATTCAATTTAAGTGTTGGACAGAAAAGATAAATTGTAATAAATAAATTAGAATTGTGAGTTATAATATTGCCTAAGAATGATATAAATTAATTAGTATGTTAAAAATAAATTGTAAATAAAGTATTTTAAATAAACTATAAATTAAACAAACGTTACAGAACAATAATGTTGGTTACGAAGAGAACAAGTATTCAAATAGTGAAAATGGTAACGCCATCTGTTTCTATTAAGCAAAATCAAAGGTAACTTGTAGTACCAGTTTGAAAACCTGGTGGAACCAAAAAGCCAGGCTGGTATTTTTAAATAAAAGAAAAATATCCCAACTCAAATGTGAGAATGACGTTCTCCTTAGTAAACAATATCAAAGGTAACTGTTAAAATTAAATTTCAATCTCTGTTGTCTTTCCTTTGGATATAATTTAATACCTGTTGCGGTATTAGCCAAAGGAGTAGTTGTTTTCTGAAAGGAAACGGTCGCTCATATTATGCGATACATGGCTTTGCATTTATTATATTTTATTTTATTAATAGGTAGAATGGATATGAAATTTATTTCGTTTTGAAGTCTTTATGTAGAATAGTAGTTTGTGCAATAATAGTGGATATGATGGCCAAATCGCACGAAGACGAAATTTGAGCACGACGTTGTAGGCAGAGTGCTCAATCATCTAAGTGCGATATGAACAATCTACTCGAGTTGTACAGTATATTTTTTCTACGACCCACTAATGAAAATCTACAAATTTTAAAAATTATTTTAGGTGATTAAGATAAAATCATTAATTTAAAAATAATTTATGACTTTTACTAATTTATAAAATAAAATAAAAAAAAAAAGAAAGATTTAATTTAATATGTCGCCACCCTATATTTGAACCCGGGCCTTTCACATGAAAACAAGTGCCTTGATATCACCACCGTCGATGCGCTCAATATTTTTGCTTTAATAACTCATTTTAATATATATTTAATCTCAATAACTAAAAAATATACTGACAATTAGTTTGACAGAATTGTCTTTTATTTTAATATTGAAAAATAATAGTAAGTCGGGTGGCCAAAATATGAACTGTGATTGGATTTCATTTTTTTTGCAATGTTTTCACTACCTAGAACGGATATGAAATATATTCGTACAGTTGAACGTAAGAGCACACTTTTTCGTTTTGTAGTCTGTGCTTAGGTAAGGGTCGATTCCACCGTTGTGGTGGAATCGGTCCTAAGCTAATATCCATGTGGGTGTAGAAAATAGCTAATATCCATGTGGGTGTAGAAAATAGCTAATATCCATGTGAGTGTAGAAAAAAACTATTTTAAAGCTAACTCAGAAACTCACAAATGTGACAAATATAAGAAATATCCGCATCGACTTGACATTTGACACTTCACAGAAGAAACTGATGCCAAAATGGTCAACAAGTTTTGAAATAAAAAAAATAAAAAAGTTTGTGAGCCTGATGAACTTTGACAGATGTTTATAATGTGAATAATTTAAAGTTCATGTCATATAAACAGTTCACATTCTCAAGTTCAGTCAGAGTTTGTTAGACCTATAAGTTTTGATGAGCGTTCTTGCAACCGGCTGTATATTTTTTATTCAATATAAATTATTTAAAATAGTTATGCAAATTGTGAATACATCTTTCACTTTGATATTGGGGTAAAAATAGTTATAGTTATATATCCATTCAATTCAAAGATTTTTCAGACAGAAAAATAAAATTGAACTGCTTGTCTAAAATACAATTTAAATAAAATTTGAAATTTAAAAATGATTTTTAAAAAAGTATAAGTTATTTATTTTGTATATTTTCTATTCTACGCCTTGGTTCAATATAGAATAAAAATAATAATTGTTTAATTTTTTTAATTTTTTATACAGTGTCGGCCACATTTTTTAATACGTCTTGCACAAGCATATGTGAAATCTGCAGAGAGTTAGCATTGTATGTTGGCAGAGCCTTTGTTTTAGTTTTGTTTCTTGTAATACCATTGTTACCAAATGTGGCAGAGATGTAGAACTCAACAAGCACATTATGAATTAACATACATTTATTTACGGTTTATATTAGCATTAAACTTTATCCTATCTATAAACTGCCAATATTTTCAACCTATGAATTAAGGATCTTCATTTTGTCAATAATAATGGAACATTGGAGAAAAATCGGAGAATCATTAATATAAATAAAAATATGAAGTTTCAACCTAAAAATATTAGATAAAATGTGCTTCCTTACTTACGTAGTTTTATTTAAAAAATGTATTAAATTTTTGTTACAATATTACAATAATAAATTGATAAATAAAGTATATTATATTCTATTTCTCTTGTAGATCACTTACCAGTTTTGACATTCACTCCAATCCCATAAAATATAGGACTAGGAATCCCATTCCGAATAGTGGTATTTAATTGACCAACAAATGCTAGGGTCAAATCAATTTCAACAGGTTGTTTATGAAATGCACTCATAATGCTGTAAAAGAGCTTTTCCGAGTAACTTTGTGGATCAACATAACCCCCAGCAAGTTGCAATTCTAATCTACCATCAGGATACCCAACGGCAAGTTCTTGCACTTTCTGGATCATTGCATAAACTGCTTCTTCTGTACCTGATTGTATAAGAAAAATAGACAACTTTTAATTTTATTAATTCTAAAGAAATTTTGTAACATATTTTAGTGACTAGTTTACTTTATTAAGTAGTGAAATAAGACGTTTCGTGTTAAGGTACGAGTACCAGTAATCAACACCAGTCTATACTTTAAAATTCAAACTTTCCTAATGGTTCAGATTTGTACATAATTCTCTGCTAGGACGAAAAACTAATATCTCTAGAAAGACTGTAAAATTCTTCAAAAGTCACAGTTTTAATCGAGGTTTTAATAAAGCGGCAAAAAATGACATACGTTGTGTCAAGCAGGTAAATTTAATTTTTTCTAAAGAAAAGACCCCGCACTTTTTATATTGATTTTGGGTACTGTCAGAAATTGTTAAAATTTTAGTATGTTACTGTTTTATAGGCAATTTTCTTTCGGACCTCAAGTTTGCAGCTCTACAGGAAGGAATCAAAAGTAAGGAGTACAGAAAAAATATTTACACATATATCTCTACCACTCTTAAGTAATACATGTTTTTTTCATGAAATTTATGGTATATGTTACACTTGTAAATAGTTTGTTAATGCTTACTTCCACTTTGTAATTTAAATCATACAAAGTGTTAAAAAAATAGGAAGAGTAATTACTGAAATAAAGTGCATTTTCATGTATTTCAATGATTAGAACATGACTTCTAATCACCTATTTGTTATATTAAATTCTAGATATTTATTAAAAATACAGGAAGTGACAGAATAACATAAATAATATATAATACAAAAATATAACAATTTTAAGACTTCCCAATAAATTATAAATCAATATAAAAGAAACTGCATTTTTATAAACCTATTAACTATTTACACACCATCAAAATCTGAATCATCTCAGTAGTATCTAAAATAGTCCTCAGTAAAACACTTGAAGGGTACTTTATATAATTTTCGAATAATGAGTATTCCAGGTACCACAAAACACTTGAAATATGAGCAGCACACATGCCTATATAGTTCTTGAACCAGTCTTATATAACATCTAATATCTATAAATGGGATTCTCGTTAATTTCCTTGTACTCTATAAATAACGTATATCGTAAAAAAACAAAGGCACACTACATAGAACGTTTCCTAACAAATATAAAGTACCTACCATCAAACATACCTAATAACATACTTTTAAAATTATTCCTGATAACATAGCCCAAAAAAGAAAAAGAAAATATAGAATGTAAAATAGAGTGTAGTCTGAAATTTCAAAGATTACAACCCTATCATCATAATTTAGCTGTTAGTTAATCTAACACTCGCCAACCTTTTAGCTCATAGAATCCTTTTATAATTAATTATTCTAATTGATAAAGAAATGAAAAAATTTATGTCATATGCTTAGGAAAAAGTCCAAAGCGAGATAAAAGTATGTAGTGGTATGGAATATCTAAACAATAAAAATTGACCAGGATTAAATTTCATTAGTATTCATATCACGAAGTTTTTTAATAAAGCAATACTTCAAAAACTGTATAAGGTTTTTTATGAGCTTTTAACTTCAATAAACCTACTAAATCTATAAAAATAGAATTATATTTATAAGTAAAGTGATAAGCTGACAGCTGTACTGTATATAGAATAGAGAAAGTGCTTTTTAATTGGAATGTCTTCTCAGTTATTCATTAACGTCAAAGTTAGTAGAATTATTTCTAAGTTTAAGTAGGCGTAGAACTGAATTTGGTTAGTTAAAAAGAGCTATAACTATAAAACAAACAAAACTGAATTCGTTTTGAGACTTTCTACAATATTTTAGGTATACCAAGTTTTGGTAATTCTTAGTTGTTTATGTAGCTCTACCACACTCTGTATTACTTATAAAAATGAGCTAGTATAAAATGAAACAAAAAATTGTCAGAAGTAATATTCTAACTATGAAAATACATAACTGATATTCCTAATTTTTTGAACATGCTGTTTGATTTATTTTGCAAAGTGTAAGTAAGAATGAACAAACTATATCCAAGTGTAACACATGACATGTTTCATGGAACAACAAGAATTACTTAAGAGCAGTGGAGATATATTTGAAAATATTAATTCTGCATTCCTTACTTTTGAATCCTTCTAACAGCTCATCCTGTAGAGCTGCAAATTTGAGGTCCATAAGAAAGTTGCCTTTAAAGACCTGAAATATAACATACTAAAATTTTAACAAATTCTAACTACCCCAAATCAATGTAAAAAGTGTGGGCTCCTTTGTTAAGGTACTTACTTAACTTATAAAATAAGTTGTTGCTTTTTAAATGGTTAAGATATGTGAATAACATTTTATGAAAGGTATCTTTGCATTCTAAAACACAAGTTTTTGTTCAAAATTCTTTGCTCACTTGAGTTCTAAACTAAATTTTAGGGTTGTCGATAACTGGGTATGCATACTCATATTATTCTCCAGTGTTTGACACTCTTTGTCCATTACTGGGGTATTATGAACCTTCAGTGCTCTTTGTAATGTCAAAAATTGGGGTGATAATAACTAGTAAAACTGTCAATAACTGGGGCGACGATAATTGGTGATACTGTTGAGGGTGTGGATTCTGTATCCAAAATTACATTAAAACGCCATAAGATGTTCTACTAGTGTCGATTACTGATGCTCTTACTTTAGTTTTTTATGATAAACTCATTGTCAAATATATCAAACTTACTGCAACCATCAAAATGGCCCAAAGCCACAGCTCCAGATCCAGAATGTCGCACTACCACAATTATGCATGTGGTAGCATCACCAGATCCTATAATGTCAACATTCTTATCACTGGGAACGGTCCCTGCATATTCTCTTTGTAAAACATAAAGCAATCCTACTGGACCTATCACTTTGTTCTGTATGGCCATTAACTGTCCTGCAGTTTCTGTATACACTGGATGGGAGTTAAATAGAGTTTGTGAATCCTGAGGACACTTGGTTTGTAAAACTCCATTTAAAACTAGTACCATTATATTATTTAATATTTACATGAAAGTGGGAAAAATTAAGAAGTACACCCTCTATAAAAATAAAAAAATATTTCGAATGTATAATTTCTACGTTATTTGTGGTACATTTACAGTAAAAAAATCAGTTATATATCACTGTTGTGGTAAGGTTATCACCAAATAAAATGAAAATAATTTATTTATAAATCATTGTTTTATCTAACCTAAAATCAAAAACAACATGTCAAAATTGTCAAAACAGAACACAGGACACCTATCTGGTGCAAAGTGCCAACAAAACAGCACAAAACACCACAAAACACCACAAAACACCAAAACAATCAAGAGGTAGATATGGTCCGTATTTATAATTTTACAGGTACAGAATTGAAGATAAATCTTGATTAAATGTTTTATAATTATATTATATGTTATCATAATTTTATTTGATTTGTAATCTTATGACTATGAAGACTAGAGAAAAGGAGGCGAATCGGCATACTCAAAAAACGATCCCAAAAAACGCACGCTAATTGAGCTTTTATAATTAACTGCATGGGCGCTATTATAGTACTGCATATGGTGTTTAAAATACATGGCTTCTTATGGGAATTATACATAATTTTGTCAAAATATTAAAAATAAACTTGTTTTTCTTTTTTAATTGAACCTAGATTTGGGAATGTACATGGTATTACCTCATCCTTTAATTTCAGCTTTCCCCTTTTTATTTTGCTAACACTATCACCAGTAAAAATAATCTCATAATATTTGATATAGAACAGCAACATCTCTAGAAAGTGCTTTATCGGCACTAGGAACGATATATATGCTGCCATTGTTCTAAAGGTTTAGTATCCTATAAAAAAACATTTACAGTTGGGTTCAACAAAATAAATAACAGTAGCAATTCTTTAACTAACATTAAAACTCTATAAAAAATACATTTTATTTTCTAGTAAGTTAAATTTAATGTATATTTATTGTTGTTTGTGAGTCAGGATCTATGACTGTAAAATTTTATATAATAGAAACTTGTAATAAAATAAACTACATTCCGTAAGATACATGTTGTGACTAGTTTACAATAAATAATAATAAATACATTATTTTACTTACATTATAGAAGCTTTAAAAAGACATTGAATTTATTTCTCCTTGTGTGTTTTTTTTTTTAGTTTTACACATTTGATTTGTATCCTGTTTTACAATCTAGAACGACGTAAATCTTACTTTGATGTTTTTTGTCACTCCTGTTACTGGTGCTCAGGTACTTTTTTCACATTATTATGATTCTTTTCTCCAATCTTTTAAAAAATCACTTCATTTTACATTAACTTACATAGAAAAATGACACCGCTGTTATTCGACATGCCAACTACAGTAAATTTCGTGAACTTTATAAAAAGAAGGACGGAAATTTGAAATTTGACCATTGCCGATTCGCCTCCTCCTCTCTAGTCTTCAAACTTATGACCTAAAGTTTGATTAGGGTGTTTTTTGTATCATCGGCTTCAGCTGCTTCTTTTATTGTTTCTCCAGCGCCACTTTAGGAACAGCACGGTTAATTAGAATTCAACGAATGGTCGAGTAGGGAATCCTGCCTATGCATTAAAATTTATATTTAGTTCATTAAATTAAATAAAAATCCTGTCACCGGGATTCGAACCTAAGACCCTCTTCGATCTCAAAGTATGACTCTAACCACTGAGCCAATAATTGAGGGGTTGTTATTGTCATCGTTTTAGATAACTATAATAGATTTAAAAAATGGTGATATTAACCTGTAACTATTAAGAAATATGATATTTTGTATTCGACATTTTATGAGTTTTAAGATATAAGTCGAATAACGCGTTGTTCTAGGCAACAGCCGCACAAACAATAACCATAGTGATTGACTGTTTTGACTAGACTGCGTTACCCGGGAATATTATTTGTAAATCATGCCACTCTATTGGCATCTACCTTAAGGGCTAACACGGCCATCCTGAATTTGGGACGTTCTCGGCTCAGTTATTTTTACTTTAAGTAAGCTCGGTTTCTTCCTGACTTGCACCCTTAGCACAACATATTAATGAAGAAACAGATCATTTTGAAACAAACTTGAATTATTAACGTACAAAAATATATATTTCATTTTATACTAAACGTTAACGACCAACCAGAAGGCATCATTATGCCAGAAAACCCAAGCTGATCGCTAACAAGCCAGAAGGTTCAGGCAATCCCAAATTCAGACAACCCAAGCTAAATTACATTTTACATTAAATATTAACGATCAACCAGAAGGCTCAAGCATCCTTATGCTAAAAAACCCAAGCTGACCGCTAACAAGCCAGAAGGTCCAGGCGATCCCAAAGCCAGACGACCCAAGCTTAATTTCAATTTACATTAAATGTTAACGATCAACCAGAAGGCTCAAGCATCCTTTTTGCCAGAAAACCCAAGCTGATCGCTAATAAGCCAGAAGGTTCAGGCAACCCCAAAGCCAGACAACCTAAGCCTAAATTTCATTTTACATTAAACGATCAACCACCAGAAGGCCCAAGCATCCTTAAGGGCTATCAGTAACAAATAATTTAAAATGAATTAACTTAAAAATTATTGTTTTTAAATGATTTATCACCCTGTATACTTATAACACCTAGTATAGCCACTTCACAAAACACGTGTTAACATAGTTTTATGATTTATTAAGGAACAAAATAAATAATGGCTTTAACGGGCATTAAGGGCCCTATTCAGTAATTTATCGTTTATGGACGACATCGTTAAGCTAACGACAGTTTAACCAACGACTTTTATAACGATAATTTTTGAAACTCTATTCAATAACAAAGTCGTTACGTTGTTTCTAGTTACCAAATCTGAACGATGATTTCTAGTAAGTTGGTATTATAATTTAGTGTTTTGTGATAAAAGAACGTATGTTGATGATTATACCGGGTGTTTAAATTAAAGTTTTACAGTTAAATATCGCCAAAAATATGCCTTTTATAAAAAAAAGTATCAGACCAAAGTTTTATAGTTTTTTAAGGGAAACATTTTGGCTAAATTAATTTTTTTATAGCTGACCATAATATGGCCATATCGAGGTGGATTTTTTTTCAAATTGGAACCCTATTTTTTCATAAAATAAGAAACTTCTAAAGGAAACATTTTTTTATTGGATTTCTACTTATTGAGTAACACCCAAAAAAACTATAAAACTTTGTTTTTTTTTTATAAAATTCGGTATTTAACTGTAACCCTTTAATTAGAACACCCGGTATATTTGAGATTTTTTTGGACCGTAAAATAAAAATTCTACCAGTAGATATATTCATATTTGTTTTTCAGAATATATTAATTATTGTTCTTAACCTACAACACGATCAGGGGGTCGATTCTCGATTCGTAGGAATTCTGTTTCTTGCGGGCGATTTTTACTGGTCGTATTGTATGTAGGGTTTATTTAAATTAATATTGATATATTAAAAAAAACTGAGAACTATTCCAAAATACAAAAAACAACTCGAGAACGATACAAGTTGTATTTTTTATTGGATTTGAAAGACAGACCAAATTTGTGTAGGTTACGGAGAAGTATTATGGGTGTACTTCCAAAATATAGGTTTTGTTACTGTTTCGCAGTGCTACTTTAGGAACAGCACTGTTAATAAGAATCCAATAGTAAATGGTTGAATGGGCAATCCTAACTTTGAATCCGAGTTATTTTTAAAATAATTAAATAAATTAGAAAAAAATTCCTTACAAATTGTACTTGCTGTAGGTATTAGATGGCAATTTAGTTGTAAAATTTGTATAAAAGTGCATTTATTATTTAGAACACATTCTGGTTCACAATGAAAAATGAGAGGGAATGGAAAAATTACTATAACGACACTTCATATTATTAACGACAGCTCTGTGGCTATCGTTGATGAACGACAATTTTACAACCATATTTGTCTATTTTCAACGACAATCGTTGTCTACTGAATAAGAAAAGTCGTCTGTGAACGATTATCGTCTATTAACGACGTCGTTCAGAGTTACTGAATAGGCCCCTTTTAATGCCTACTTGCTTGTTTTCGCTCGATCAAAATTCAAGTGTTTCCGTTCTCTCTGGATACTGCAACGGGCGCGATGTGTTCCGAGAACTCGGATGTGTTACCGTCGACTCCAGTGGTGGCGGTATTCTAATTCGCTGACAGTATAATAAAAGGAATTTTAATTGTATATACAATTACGTTTTTTTTTTACAAAAAGGAACCGTTGCCGTTCTAGGGAATACCTGCAAGATTCCTACTTTGAAATGGAAATGATCCATTAGAGTGGATACGAAGCAATAGTTACACATCTGTATCTATATCATCCTGTAACGTGTGGAGGTTGGGTTACCCCACGGCACTTTAGGACTCACTACTAGCCCCATTTTGCATCCTCCAATGTGAAAGGCACGTGAGCCAGCCTACAGATCTGATGTAGTTAACAACATCACCAAGAGAAGCTTCTTTTTTAATCGGCCATTGTTAGCCGATACTCACCGAACACAAAACTTCTAATAAATGAGAGCGTCGGGCAATCAGAATGTCTCTGCGTAATCAGGCGCAGATTCTGTCTAGTCATAATCAAGTATTTGTTTGCTGTAGTGTTGTCAGTATAACTTTTAAAAGCTCCCTGGCAACTCTAGTTTTGTTTTATCCCATCTTTCCTTGAATTTCACAAAATGTTCTTTAATTAGGTATCCGCCTATCACTATGCCGATGTTGTCAGTCCAATAGAAGAAAAAGTATTTGTTTCTGGTGATTTCTTTTGCTGCTATGAGAATCACGGTGAGCTTGGTTTGAACTACACTGGCACTGTTGTAGTCAAAAGTGTTTGGGCGCTTAGTACTTAATATAACCTTCCTTTTGTTTATCATAGTATGTAAAAATAATGTTGTCAGATATAATTTGATATAAGTTGTCAATAAAAGTTAAAAAGGAAAAAGTTCATTTTTGCCAATAATAAGTGTTTATCCAAACATTTGGTCCTTTCGAGCGCTTGTAGAGTCATTTTAGTCCCCGTAGCTCTCATTTTGGCCGAGAGAAAAGTGCAAAACTAAAATGTCTCACAAAGAGGGTGCCGTCAGAAAATCCAGCAGGGTTACTGCAGGAATACCGCCATTGAGATATCCGGACAGTCCATACGAACAAAGTGCAAAAGCGTCGACGAAGTCTAAAAGGTC